AAATTATCATAAATGTAAATATCAAATTTCAGGTCTTAGATATGTACATACATAAGAATCGTGGTATGTATGTTAATTTCCCTAACTAAAAATAATGCCATAAGCTATTACACGCATAATTTATTTAGCAAACTGTTCTTTATCCGTGTTAATGAATTATTGTGGCTATTTCAGAAAGGCTGAAGATCTAATAAATTTTTTTCTAGCTAAAGCTTTTAGCAACCTTCTAGAGTGGAACATATGGTAGTTTTCTGAAATGTTGTAGATCACCTCCAAATTTTGTAACTTCACATCTTATTTTGCTGAGGATGGGGATGCAATTTAAATTGATGTCATTTTTGCAAAATAAAGACTAGCTTTTTGCCTATTTGTGTTTGTGTAATGCTTACCCTGTTTTAGTTTCTTAACTTTATTATAAAAAAATATCCAATAATTGATTTCATTTTAAAGTTGATCTTTTTACGTACAAATTGGATCATACGTGCACATGTTATTCTAATATTGAATCTAATTATTCAATTTTGTGCAATGCTTACCCTGTTTTTGGTTTCTGTATTTTGTTATAAAAATTTCATAAAATTTGTTATTATTTTATTTTGGGAATATCTACATACATACCGCTCATTTTCAATGTATTTACATATCTAACATCCAAATTTCAAATTTTAAGTACCTGCCACCTTACCTTTGCATGAGAAAGTGTGTTTAACATTTTAAAAGTTAAAATGGTGGTCTTTTTGATGTGAGATGAAAATTTTGAATAATATAAATGTAGAAAGTAAAGTTTGGGCGTTAGATATGTGAATATATAAAAAATTTTGAATAATATAAATGTAAGAAGTAAAGTTTGGGCGTTAGATATGTGAATATATAAGAATTGGGTGGTATGTATGTAAATTCCTTTTTTTTTAAAGTTGATCCATGTGGCCTCCCAATTGAATCATCTTGGAAAAATATCTAAAAGCTTGTGGAGTTGTCACTCTGAAAACACATACACATTTATTTGTTGCTGGGCACAGTCATCTAGGGACAGTAACTACTAACTATGAATCTTGGTTGGCATATTGGTATTATCTCTCCTACCTTCTTAATAGTGAAGTTCGATTAGAAGTGTTCTAGAACTGTCCTGTTTTGCTTATTATATTCACTCCACTAATTTGGAGTATGATGTTATGTAGTGTTGAAATGATTCTTTTTAAAGACTCTTTTGCTGCATCAGCAATAATTAATCAGAAAGTTGTCCAAATCAGTCCCTAAGTATTTAAAGAAGGTGCGAGTCAAACATGAATCATGACTTCCTAACATAGAAATTTTGGAATATATTGTTTGATATAGAGCTGTTCTGTTGATGAAAAATATTATTGATTTCTTTGGTCTGTTTGGTGCATTGTGCTCAGAGAAAGAAACTAATACAAATGTTACTATTAATCTCGTTACATTGTTTACAATGCCTGTCAATTATCTTTCAGGAACATTCTCTTATTTACTGTTCATTTGCATATATGAATCTAAATAACACCTAACTCGTGATCTTTAAGCTGTGAATTTTTGTCTTGATGTAATTTTTTGAAGTCTGAAATAATCAGAAGAGAAAATTAATTGGACACTGATAATCGAGTTTATTAAAATTTGGTAGATTTATATACATACGACTCAATTCCTATGTATATACATATCTTACTCCTAAATTTCGATTTTTACATCTGTACCCCCTTATCTATGCATGAAAAAAGAAAAGGTGTATTTCACATTTTAAAGGTCAAAATGGCTGTATTTTTTATGCTATATGAAATATTTGGTTGTTAGATATGAATATATTGGAATTGGGTGCTATGCTTGTGAATGTCCCTTCCTCTTTTTTTTTCATAATCCATTTTCTGAATTTCCAAAATTTTTCGAGGACCGATTATCAGCATTGTAAATAACATAACTCATGACCTTAATGTTGTTTTTATAGTATAATGAAAACTCAGAGGATGTAAATTATGCTGTAAATTGGCAAAGTACTTTACAATGCTTTACATAGATTATCATCGTATAATGTTAGTGGTAGCTACCTTTTCTATTTCTCACTCTACTGTTAAAAATTGTCGTATTTTAGTGCAGTTTTATACTATTTTTTAGTGGATGTTGCATTCTTTAATGGTTTCCCAATTACAAAGCTCATGCTTTGTTCCAGGACATCTTTATCATGATAAACATCAGGAGGATTTTTTGACTGAGTTTCAGGTTTAGTGAGGATAGGGATGAGCACCTTAACTAGGAGCTTTGCTAGACCCTTTTTTTTTTTTAACTTGCTCTTTGTAGTTTTTTATTGGAGCATTTACATACATACCACAGAATTCTTATGTATTTACATATCTAACACCTAAACATTAATATGTACATCCCGTACCACTCAAGTTTTTAACATCACTAACACGGGTGGGAGAGTGATCTCTCGAAGCGGGACGCGGAAACGTGATCTCCCACAGCGTGATGCGGGAGCGGGGAAATCCCACATCGGGAAGTCCTAGGGTAAACCCAGGCAGAGTGGCCTGGGGGCGGGAGTTTGGCAGGGCGGGATTGTCGTTCACTCCTCTTCTCCTTCTCTGCGTCTCTTTATATGGAAGCCTCTTAATGGATAATTTATAATATTTCTTGCCTCCCCACCCTCTCCTTTTTATGTGAGAGTTTCCTTTTTTTTTCTCTTTCCTCTTCTTCTTTTTGCAAGAGTCTATTTATTGTAGTTTTCAGAGTTAAGGGGAGGTTTCTGCTGTAGTTAAATGTCGCTATTTCTTAGCATTTTTACTAGTAACCTTGTCACTCTTGCTCCACCCGAATTTGACTTAAAAATTATGGGCTCGGGTAAGCATGAATAATTTTTGGGTTTGGTTAGGAATGCTAAATTCTTTATTTTTTTTGGGTTCGGTTTAGGTTGGCCCGCTAACTCAAAATTGACATGCTAATTTAAAATTAACTGGAAATCGATGGACTCAAAATTTACCCAAATAATTGTTTTGTTAAATAGGTTTTTTGGATCGGGTTTGGGTCAGCAGGATGAAGGTGGGTTGGGTTTGAGTTAGACCTTCAGGCCCTTTTAATATTCGGGTGTTATTCAATTCATACAATTTTAATAAGGTTAATTTTGGGTTAGAATTGAATAATCAATTGTGATGAAAGTAAGAGGTGAATGGTGCTGACGGTTGATGCTCTTTTAACCCACCTGTTCCTTGCTCTTAAGCCTTATTTTTTCTTCGTGCCACTTGATTCTCATGCATTTACATATCTAATTCCTAAATTTTAGTTTTCACCTGTCATCTTACCTACCTATGCATGCAAAATATCTCTCTTTTTAAAAGTGAAGAAAAAAATAGTGGCAGTCATATGAAAGATTTGGGTTGTGTATAAATGTAGGAAACAAAGTTTAGAGGTTAGATATGTAAATACATAAGAATTGGGCGGTATGATGAAAATGCCCTCATTCTAATTCATTTTTCAGCTCTATTCATCTCTAAGTGTTGTTTTCTTTGATCTTCGCATTTGTTTTTCATAATTTTTTTCTTATATACTATATGTTTTCACCCATTATTTTTCCCACTTATAGGCTTAATTGATTGTCATTAGTTGCTTGAGTTAAGCGTGCTTATGTTGAGCAACTTTCTACACGCTATCTTAATTGTGAAGACGAAAGAGTTTGTAATTATAGATGGTTGTTGTTACATTTATAGGGGTATTGGTGTTAAAAATGTAAATTTAGAAATATTGGTGTTAGATATGTAAATACGTAAGACTTGTGAGGGCATGTATGTAAATTTCCCAACAGTTTATTCTTTCTCATGTAGAGGGTGTATGTGCATTTCAAATAATCGGTGACATAATCCCACTTCATTCAGCTTCATGGTTGAAATGACTTGTTTTGAATGTGCTTATAGGCTGAAGCTAGTGGGATTTGTTTGGTTGACGCACTGTAGCTATGGAGTTCTAGAGAGGCAACAGCAATTGGGATAAGATGATGGTTAGGGAATTCTCCATGGCTTTTTTAAGTAATATTGAGTAACATTTACATGCATGCATATTTTTATGATTGTCAACTGTGCTGGTGTTATTTATATGTTAATGTTATTTACATGCATGCTATTTTTATTAATATTATGTCCTGGATTGGTGTTATTTAGGTACTATTGGTGATATTTTACACTAATATTATTAATCATTACTAAAATATTATTTATAAATTTATTGTTTTAAAAGAAATTTTAAAAAATAAAATGTTTTAAATTGACAAAATTGCAATGTAAGTAGATGATTTTGTTACATTAGTATGCGAAATGTTCTGTTGATGTGGTGCTTATTATTCACCATGTCGCCAAGTAAAATAAACGATCATAACACCAAGTATATTTAGCTTAGTTGGTGGACTCTCTACTTTCAAGTGTCATTGTTATTTTGTTTTTATAAGGAATTGTGTTAATTTAATTATTCTTTTAAGTTATTTTTATTAACAAATAAATTGAAATTATATAAAATTTAATAAATATTACAACTAACAACATAACAACAAAAACAACAAAGCCTTAATCCCACTGCGTAGGGTTGGTTACATGAATTCTTTTTTTTAAGTGCATCCTAGTGTCATATTTTCATTTAGTTTAGTAAATTAAGATCACTTTTTAATACAATAAGCCCAAGTCTTCCTAGGTCTACCTCTGCCTATCTTAACACAAGTGAAATCTAAAACATTACCCTTCTAATCGGATCATCAGATGGTTGATGTTTAATGTGACCAAATCATCTAGGATGATTTTCTCTAATTTTATCCATCACAGGGTTACACCAACCCTATCATGAATATAAATATTACAACTCAATTAAAAAAATTAATAAAATAAAGATTAAAATATCAATATTATGTCATAAAATAAATGACTTATTTAAATTTATATTGAAAGATAAATTAATCTTAATGAGTAAAATTAAATTAATTATTCAAGTTAATTTGTAGCAAATAATAATTTAAAATATATTAATTCATTCATTCCACGCTATTTTTCCACACACACACACACAACAGAAGGAAGGGGAGGACGAGTTGCAGAAGAGCGAGATCAGAGGGCGGTCGCCGGCAATGATCTTCCCCAACTAAAAACAACTGTGGTCAAAATTTCCAATTTCGGAAGATTAGAATAGCAATTAATATGCGTTCTGATCTTATCCATTCTACCATTTTGCTCGTCCCTTATTTACTAAATCCAGCGTGAAGATTATCGGCATTTACTCGGTCCCTCAGGATTCACGGGCTTAAAAGCGGCTGCCAAACATCCCCCGAATTCGAGTTTCGATCGATCGAAGAGCAGAGCAGAGAAGCGAAGATGACGGGCTCATCTCTCCCCGACGATTCCCTTTTCCTCGGCCTCGACAGCTCCACCCAGTGAGCCTTTTTCTTTCATCCTCTTCTATTTCTTCTTTTTAGTTCCTTTTTAGTTCCGTATATCTGCGATTTCTATTTTAATTTTGCAGGTCACTGAAGGCAACCGTGCTTGATTCAGACCTCGCCATTGTCGCATCAGAAGCTGTTCATTTCGACTCTCACCTGCCCCACTACAAGACCCGAGATGGAGTCTACAGAGACCCCTCCGATAACGGCAGGATCGTCTCCCCCACATTGATGTGGGTGGAGGCACTGGATCTCCTCCTCCAAACCCTCCAATCCAAAATCGATTTCCGAAGGGTTTCCGCGATTTCTGGAAGCGGACAGCAGCACGGAAGCGTTTATTGGAAGAGGGGGAGTTCCGCCATCTTGGCTGCGTTGGATCACACTAAAACCCTAGCGGATCAGCTCGTCGATGCCTTCTCTGCATCGGAATCCCCGATCTGGATGGACAGCAGCACCACGTCGCAGTGCAGGGAGATTGAGGAGGCTGTGGGAGGGGCGATGGAGTTGGCGAGACTTACGGGATCGCGCGCCTACGAGAGATACACGGGGCCGCAGATTCGGAAGCTGGAGCAGAGGAAGGAGGTTTATGATAATACTGAGAGGATCTCTCTTGTTAGTTCATTCATGGCGTCTATTCTTATTGGAGGGTATGCTTGTATTGATCACACTGATGCAGCAGATGGACATCGAGCACAGAGTTTGGTCCAAAATGGCGTTGGAGGTATGGATGTAGAGGAGTCAGCTTGAGCCAACACTAAACTCAGCTCGACTCAGTAATTATGCATGACTCGAGCTCAGCTCGAAAGCTCGACGGTTCTGACAGACGTAGATTAAAAATTTATGAAGTAGTAAAAGAATTAACCTAATTGAGCTCTTTAGCTGAGTCAAACTAACCAGGAGCTTGAGCCTGAATAATATATGAGCTCGAAGCTAAGCTCGAGCTCAAGCTCGCGGTTGGATAAGCTGCACTCGGGAGCTCAAGCTCGCGGTTGGATAAGCTTCACTCGGGAGCTCATTAACTAGTTGAGTTTGAGCCATCTCTACCGACTTACACTCTTAGTTGGAGTTGTGATTTTGTAGGGTTTAGGTAGGGTTTAGTTGTTTGATATTGGTAGTTTTGTAATTCATGATCTCTTTTGGTAGGCCACAGCGCCGGGTTTGCAAGAGAAGCTGGGGAAGTTGGCACCACCGCATGCAGTTGCTGGATTGATAGCTCCTTATTTTGTGCAGAGGTGGGTTGTTGTTTTGTCAAAAGAATGGTGGATAAAATAGAAGGTTTTTTTTTATGACAAAGTTTGAAGATTTGTAGATTGTTGCTGAGTTTTGTACTTCATTTGTTACTGATAGGTTTCAGTTCAAGGAGGACTGCTTGGTTATTCAGTGGTCTGGAGACAATCCAAATAGTTTGGCAGGTTTCTTTTATCATTATTTGGTGCCTTTATAACTATTATGCTATTTGACATAACTACTGCTGTTTAGTCATATTCAGGATTCAATTTTTTATTTTATTTTATTTTATTTTGGGAAATTTACTTACATACCACACAGTTTCTATGTAAATTCTATGTGTAAAATATCTCAAGTTCTCAGAGTAGAATATCACATAAATTAGCATTTTTTTAATTGTGGTTAATTTATTGACTTTGCAGGATTGACCCTGAATACTCCAGGTGATCTAGCAATAAGCCTTGGAACAAGTGATACAGTGAGATTTCTTATACTTGTTTTTCTTTGCAGGCTTTAAACCTAATATGAAAGCTTTGGCTTTACTACTTGGACTGGAATTTTCAGGTCTTTGGAATAACAACCGAGCTAAAGCCCAGCCTTGAAGGGCATGTTTTTCCAAACCCTGTTGACCCAGAATGCTATATGGTTATGCTTGTCTATAAAAATGGATCTCTTACACGAGAAGGTTCGGCTGATTTTCACTTTTCTTTTTGGAAAATTTACACACCTAGCACATAATACTTATGTATTTACATAACTCGCACCTAAACTTTTGTATCTACATACATAGGACTTTGGTGCTTTAAACATGCGAGTGAAAATGTGTATTTCGCTTTTAAAAGTGGTAATATTGCTATTTTTGATGTGTTAAAGATTTGAGCGCTACGTGTGTAAATGTGAAACTTTAGGTCATGCTATGTATATAAATGCCCTTTTTTTTTCTTTCATTTTGACTTCTCATATCCTCTCACTGTCAATATGTTTATATTGTTTTGATAGATGTACGCAACAATCATGCCGAGCAGTCTTGGGAAGTGTTCAACAAGCATCTGGAGAACACGCCTCCTTTAAATGGTTGGGATTTCGATTCCTTACTTTCATCTTTGCGTCATTTTGATAACTTCCTTGACAATCACAAATCTTTGGAGACTTTTGTTTGAATTAGCAAGTCAATAATAACTTCCTTGTCTTCCCTGACCAACAAATCTGGATTAAAACTAGTGTTTCATTACATGAATATCCCTCTGTAAATTAAAAATAAATGCTAGCTCTTCTATTTGATCTACAGATTAGGGTGTCTGCTCTTTGGTCATTTGATAGTTCTTGTATTAGTCCAAGTCAACATGAAATCTTAAGTTTTCAAATTATGTAAAAATTCTTGATGGCTTATTATAGTAATAATTGATTTTATTACTATTCAATCAATTAATATTATCATTTTATTATAATAATTGCTTGAATTATAATCATTTTTTTTTCACCTTTAAAATAATTGAGTCATCTCTTGTGCTGGCTCAAACTCATAGAATTACACTTATGCTCTAGCTAGGTGACTAGAGCTCGGCTTGACTCAGTTTCACCTCTAAAGGGACTTGGTGTACACGTGGAGAGGTTGGGATTCATGGTACACTTGTGTAGGATTACATTCATGAGTTAGTTGATGGGAACACATTCATGGATTGTATTTTGTCATGATAACAAACAGTTTCATTCATTATTATCAACTAAAAATCAATATGGATCACTATTTATGAAAATCATCATCTTATCAAACATTCAACGACTAAACCAATTATTTTATATAAAAGAAAATGAACATGCTTGGTTCAAATTCTTTATTTGCTATTTTGATTTGTAATAATTGGTCTATGACAACATGGACTTTTGTGGATCAATTTGTCTCATTTATATCTAGATGATTTTTCACACCTTGATCAATTCAGGCTTTTGTTTTTGATGTCAGCCCATCTCTTTTCCATAATTGTTGATTTTATTACTATTCAAGCAATTTCATTTTTGTAAGCACTATTTTATATAGTTTCAATTTACAACTATCATTAAAGTTCTCACAATCTCACAATCTTAAATTGAACTACGTGTATTGCATAGGTGGAAAAATAGGATTCTACTACAAGGAGCATGAAATAGTACCTCCCATGCCTGGTAATTTTGCATTTAAATCAAAATTTCATAATATAGCAATCTAATTTCATGGCCCAAACATATATATA